TGGTTTGGGGGAGAAAATGTCTGTTCTGGGTTCTGGAGCCATGCCGATGAAGGGCATTCCAAGAACAAGTGAGCTCATCCTGATGTTGAGTCAGCTGCAAGTCTAGCCATCCATTTACAGACCTACCCATCCATTTCCGAAAGCCTCCTTGACCCACGTCGCCACAGTTCTAGAAGTTACCAAGAAGCCCAGTATTATACTTGCATTCAGAGAAACTTACAGCTGGGAAAAATATCTACATGAAACATACTATATATTACGCAGCTATACGTAGTAAATATATACACAGAGGCCGACCTCATTTGGTTGCACTTCATTTCATTGTGCTTTGCAGATACTGTGGTTTGTTTTTACAGTTTGAAGGTTTGTGGCAACCCTGCATCAGGTGAGTCTATTGGTGCCACTTTTCCAATGGCCTCACTTTGTGTCTTGGTGTCACATTTTGGTAATTCTTGCCATATTTCAAACTTTTTCATCATCATTACGTTTGAGTGATCTTTTTTTTTTTTTTTTTTTTTTTTTTTTTTGCGGTACGTGGGCCTCTCACTGTTGTGGCCTCTCCCGTTGCGGAGCACAGGCTCTGGACACGCAGGCTCAGGGGCCATGGCTCGCAGCATGTGGGATCTTCCCGGACCGGGGCACGAACCCGTGTCCCCTGCATTGGCAGGCAGACTCTCAACCACTGCGCCACCAGGGAAGCCCGTTTGAGTGATCTTTGATGTTGCCACTGTGACTCACTAAAGGCTCAGAGGATGGGTAGTGTTTTTTTAGGAATCAAGTATTTTAAAATTAAAGGATGTGCCTTGTTTTCTTAGACATAATGCTATTGACACTTAACAGACTACAGTATAGCGTAATCACGGCTTTTATATGCACTGGGACACCAAAAATTTGTGACTCAGTTTATTGGGATATTTGCTTTATCGTGCTGGAATGGAACCCGCGGAATCCCCGAGGTCTGTCTGTGTATGTATGCAGGCATGGTTTTAAGTATGTGCATGTGTTAGAGGGCATCCTAACCGTGGCTGGCTGAGGTCAGAGCTCCTGTTACACCCACTTTTCATAAGAGACCGAGGCACAGGAAGTCAAGTAGCTTGCCCACGTGGCCAGTGAGAGGTGGGCCAGGATGCAACCCCAGGCTGCCAGGATCCACGGGTGGCTCCCAGACAGAGTGGTCCAGTGTCCACGGCAGGGGGCTGGTGATCTCTTCAAGGGCGGAATGAGGAGCCGTGTGAGCAGGTGTGACTCAGACACGTGGCCTGTGGGAGGTCAGGGAGGGCGGGCAGGGCCCTGTGGGCAGGAAGCTCCGGGGAGAGGGTGGACTTGGCAGGTTGTAGGATGGGGCCTTCAGGAGCAGAGGCCGGGCCAGGCCTGATCCTGGGATTTGCTGGGAAGAGGGTAAGTTGACTGAAGATCAGGGTGGTCATCAGGGGGCATTTAAGAGTACCGGCCAGTGGGCAGGCTGTGGGCAGGTGGTCTCGAATGCCCGGTAAAGACTCCGCCCTGTTCCCTCTGAGGAGGTGGTGTTCCCCGGGGGTATTTGGAGCTTTCAGCTGGCCCAGCATAAAGGACAAGGTCCAGGGAGACCTAAATTCCAGGCCTGGCTGTGCCTCTAGGGGTCTTTCCTGCAGGTCACTCAGATGAGTTACCATCTGTCTGCATTCCAGCAATCTCATTTTTTAAGTAAAAGGCTTAGGCTAGATGCATCCCTCTGGCTATAGTCTGTGGTGAACCCCGATGAATCTAGCAGGGCTTTGGAAGAGGATTGGTGGCAGGGCGGGAGGGGCGGGCGGAGGGGGGAAGAAACTGGAGGCGGATGGAGAACTTGGAATCAGAAGATGCAGAATGGGGAGGTTATCTTAGAGACCTCCTCCCCGCTCTGTTTTACAAGTGGGGAAACCGAGGCACAGGAAGGTAAGTGGTTCCCAAGCCAGGCAGCTCATTCCTGTGGAGCCGAGGAGGCCATCCAGCCTCTGCCCCTTACTTAGTCTCCTTTCCCTTTGGGTGGGAGCTGCAGGGGACATTGGCTTGGAGCACGGGTGAGGGGGGAAAGGCAGGGAGGCTCAGCCTGGGGGTGCTGCCCCCCTTCATTCCTGGCCCATTTGGTCAGCACCGGCGGGGCAGCCATCCCCAAAGTGGTCCAGCTCAACAGAGCTCCCGAGGCCCGGGTTCCAGTCGTCGCTCCGTGTGGCAAGGCCCCGACTCTTTGGGGAAACTTTTAGACTATCATCTGTCAGATGGTCAGTTGAGGCTGCGAGCTGAGGCCATCGTGTCACGATGCAGGGGCATGTGAAGGGCCAGTGTGGAAGCCGCCCTCCCCCTGCCCTCCCCCCGGGCCTTGGCGCCCCTCTGCTGCTCTGGGCCTGGGAGCTGCTGCAGGGCGGGGGAGGGGGGGTGCTGAGGCTGTGGGAGTCTGCACTGAGCCTCTGACACTTGAGTGAACCTCCCTGCTCCATGTCAAAGGAGTCTGGTAAAAGTTAACAGGCCTCCCTGCCTCGAGCAGATCAGAGGGACTCTGGGGGTCAGGGAGAGGTCGCTGAAACTGATGGCAGTCCCTGGAGCTGACCCCTGTCTATAGGCCTATCCTGCCCCCTCCCCTAATGCAGAACCCAGGGCTCCTTCCAGGGTGGCTGGCCCAAGCCCTCATTTGTCTAAAGGCCCCTTGGAAGATGTCCTGGGCCTTCCTTATAGGGGCCTTCTCTCTGTGGCCCTGCACCTCCCCTAGCCCTGGGCCCAAGTGTGTGTGTGTGTGGAAGGGAGAAGGTATGGGGGAGGGGCAGCCGGATGGTCTGTGGATGAGATGCCAGACTGATCTGGGCCTGGGCTGGGCCTGGCCAGGTGTGACCCTGGTCCCTGACCCCTAGTGGCCCAGAGGGGGAGGAGGGAGGATTGGGGGGTGGGGAGAGGCTGTTGGCTAACATTTACCAGGACCTTTGAAGATGTAAATGCTTCCCCAGGCCCTGCTGGGATGGATGGGGTCAGAGTTCACAGGCATGGTCGCCTGCTTCTCCAAGTGAGCTGGAAATCTTGCAGACAGATGGGTTAGGGTCCCATGTGAAGGACCTTCCCCAGGGCATTTGCTCCTTCTGGGGCTTTCTTGGATCCGGCCCAAGGACTTGGAGGCCTCGGGAGGGGCTGATGGGAGCTGTCTTTTTCAAATACTCACATTTCTCTTGGGTATGTTTTCTGGGTATATTTGGCTCCACTAAGATCAATCACTGGAAGATCTGGGAGAGAGAGCCTCATCTCCTGCCTCTTCCTGTCCTTTTTATCCTGCGAATACTAGATTGCTTGGCGTTTCCTGTTCACACCATGCTCTTTCATGCCTGGTACCCCCCTGTGCTAGTTGCTCTGCAGGCATTCCCTTCCCCACCTTCCTTCTCAGGATGGCTAACTCCTATTCACCATTCTGTATCGCCTCCTCCAGGGAGGCTTCCTGGAGTGGAATCTGCCCCTCTGCTTGGTTCTCCTGTAGCACTGAATCAACTAATATTTATGCAATATGTACCAGGTCCTGTTCTATCGGGAATACATCAATGTGTAAAACAGACCCAAATCCTTCCCTCAGGGAACTTACATTCTTGAGGGTAATAACAGGGAAAAACGACATTACCCTATTTTTTTTTTTTGCGGTACGCTGGCCTCTCACTGTTGTGGTCTCTCCCGTCGCGGAGCACAGGCTCCGGACGCGCAGGCTCAGCGGCCATGGCTCACGGGCCCAGCCGCTCCGCGGCATGTGGGCTCTTCCCGGACCGGGGCACGAACCCGTGTCCCCTGCACCGGCAGGCGGACTCTCAACCACTGCGCCACCAGGGAAGCCCCGACCTTACCCTATTTTAAACGCTTTACAGGTACTAACAGATTTAACCCTCAGAACATCCCTATGAGTTAGGTCAATTATCCACATTTTACATGTGAGATTACACAACTGATAAGGGGCATATTTAAATTAAATTAAATTTAATTTAATCCTGACAACAGCCCTATGAGATAGATGTGATTTTCTTCATTTTCCAGATGAGGAAACCAAGACTTAGAGGGGTAAGTACTTGGTCCAGGGTCATTCTACCAGTAAGTACCATCCAAAGCAGGATGAGTCTAAGCCTGGGAAGGACCACATTGCCTCCCTATCATAACAGGACCCTGTTTCTGTATTGAAGCCATTTCTCTTTGGATTAAATGGTCCGCTCATCTTCTCCATCATCCTGGGAACTCCCCCAAGGCAGCAACCTTGGCTCATTTTCTGTCTCCTTTGAACTCCCATTGTGTTGGGTGCTTAATTGGCTTCTAACAAATACTTATCTATGGGTTGACAGCTGTATGTGGGCAGAGATGAGCACAAAGCAGCTAATATTTACTGCACATACTCTGTGTTGGGCTGTGCGATGGTCTTTGCTAAGCATGAGCTCTTCTGGTCCTTACAACGTTCTAGGAATTATGTCACTACTCACAGGCTAGTAGCTAGGAGTGCTCAAGGTGGGACTTGAGTCACAGGTTCCTCTGACTTCAAAACTCCTTGTCCTTTCCTCTATGCCACGGGAGGCTGGTCAAAGGAAAGGTGGCTCAAGCCTCCTGGCTCTTGGGTTTCTGTCCCCACCTGGCTGGGAGGCCTTAGGGACGGAATTGGGGTGGGCCTTCGATGCTAAGGGTAGCATCCTCCCTAGGCTGCAAGGCAGCTGGAGAAGTTGAGGCTTCGGTTCCAAGATTATTCTCATCTGATAAGATGTTTGAAGTTGTTGAAGGGAGTGACTGGGCACATTGAAGGTGTTCAGTGAATTCTTACTGATCGTTGTGGGTTCATTCCCCGTTCCAGAGAGACAGCCGGATTCAGGCTAAAACAGCGGACACTTTGGGCATTTTGACTTGGGAAGAGGAGGATTATAGCAGAATAGACTTCAGGCCTTAGGTCTGGAGCAGAAACGGGAGCGTTCCTGCTGTATGTATGTTTTGTTCCTTTGTTCTGACATCTGTTTTTGTTTTTTTATTTTTTGCTTTCCCAGTTAGGAGGGGAGAACAGCATCGAATCTTCTGATTCATCTGCCCACAGGGCTTAGCAGACTGGCCGACTGGAGGTATGTACGGGGCGAGGAGGTCACAAGAGATGGTTTGGGGTCGCAACAGCTGAGCAGGGGACCAGCGCCTGCGTCTCGGGACCCCCAGGTTTTCACTCTTGCCGTCAGGTCTCATTTGCCTCTACAACCCCCCTCTCCCACCGTCGATGGGCTTGTTGGATCCGTACCCCTCCCCCCTTTGGCTAATGCCCTATTTTGCTTGACTAACAGTCAAAATGCAGGACTGCACCCAAACGAACTAAGCTCACTTAAATCACTGGCAGGTAATTTGATAGATGTTGGCCGGCGCCCGTTTTGGGAATTAAGTAAAGCCTGAGCCACGGAGACAGTGGGAAACAACCTTGTGTAACTGGTAAGCAGGCGGCCTCATTTCACCCGGAGACAGCCCAGGCCCCAGCTCCACAGCTCAGACTGGAAGGCTGGAGTGGGCCAGGTGGACGGTTGACGTTTCTCTCTCAGCCTCTTCCTCCCTCGGTCCTGGCTCTGACTCCCCTGGGGTTGGGAACCTGACTCTTGAGGATCTGCAACGTTGTCCCCACCAGCCGAGGTCTCATTTCCTGGAGCTCACCTGGGGAAGACCCAGCAAATGATGTCGTTGGCTAAGCTCACTTCTTTGCTGAGCTAACTCAGACGGGACAAGGGTTTTTCCGCAGATGGGCGTGGTGTCGTACAGATGGGTGTTTTATGGACCGAGCTCAGAAACTGACAGCTTGTGGAAGGCAGCTCCCATCTGCAAAGAGGCCAGTTGCAAGGGAGAAACTTCTAGGTCCTTTCATCACTGCGAGGATCGTTCGTTTGTGTTCGTGCGCTAACTTCAGATAAGCAGAACAAACAAGCCTCGGCCCAAGTGGGAACTGGTTCTGCCCCCTCTCTTTGCTTTTCTAAGTCATCAAAGCCAAGTTCCTAAAGCCTGACTGTCTCACGGTCCTTTCTGATGGTTTCATTGTTTTGTTTATTGTGCTTATGACAAGTGCTAACAGACCGCTTTCAAAGTGTGTTGATATTTCGGTTGTTTTTGAATGGCCCTTCTGTTTTCCTGCATCTGGACAGCATTAGAGCCTGGCCCCAGGGAGCCACTGGGTTCCTATAAAAGTGTACCAGGTCCCCTTTTGCAGAAAACACCAGCCATGGCAAGATCAGACTCCCCATCTGGGCAGGAACAAACACCAAAACCTAGAGCAGAATTAGGAGACATTATTCAGCAGCTGCGGAAGACAGGCCCGGGCTGGGAAGGGGCCAGCAGGCATTGCTAGCTGGATTGTGGGTGTTCCTTCTGCCCATGGACATACTGTGATTTTCCCATGGGAGGACGTTCCCTAGCAGAGGGCCTGGCACTGGGCGATGCCGCTAAACGCTGGTCATCAACAGGTTCACTCTCTGTCTTCTTCTCCAGGCTGCCTGGTCAACACCAGCAGCAGGTCCAAATAAGGGGGTTCCCGGAGATGGGACAAAGAGCAAGAGCTGGAAGATGAAGAAGATCATGGGGTCTGGGAGGACCAGAAGAGGCAGGGCAGCGTGCCCTGCAGCTCCGACCCTCTTCCCTCTACAGCTTTCTTCGGGGATCTTCGGTTTTCACGCCCTTTCCCTTCCTACTTCTCCTGCTCCGTCCCCATCCCCAGGCCCTGCCACATGCTACGGTACAGCCAGCTTCCTCCAGTGTGAGAGAATCTCGGTGCACAGACCAGGCTCAGAGGAAGGGAGTGACGTGCACAGTCTCGCTTTATAAACTCAGCACAAACTGGATTTCGTTTCTTCAAGGTCGTCCTTTCCAGCGGGCTGAGGTTTTCTTTAGCACGCGCTTTATCGGCTTGTACACGGTTCTCTCTTGTTTGGTTTCAAGAGTGGCAGAGTCCCTTTCTGACTGCGCCCCAGGTAGCTGTGTGGCTTGGTTTGCGAAGTCCCTGGAACTTGAGTTCAGAGTCAAATGGATTAAGATTGAGTGGGTGACAGGGAGCTTTGGTGCCTCGGAGCTGCAGTTAGAGGGGACCCAGGCAGGCCAGATGGGGGAAAATGTGTGCTCTACCGTTGGTTCTCTGACGGAACCACGTGAGGCTCATAGACCTACAGTCAGTGTGTTCATGCATATGGACACGTTGGGTGGGTGGATGGGGGCTGCATGATGACTGGTCTCCATCCACCAGGCCTCAAAGTTCTTGACATCTTTATGGCCACACTCCATGGCATTTCCTTCTAGACACACACTGTCTTGTCAAAAATTCCCATTTAAGCTGCCTCTCCTGTCCTGGATCTTTTTCCTTAAATTTTTAATATCCAGAGAAATGTATACGTCACTGCACTTACTTTAGCTGAACTGGGATGCCCGATGGAGCGCTCAGTGGTACCATTTTGTTTCTCTAGGACCGGAATTGCATTGGCTCTTGGATCTGACAAGGAGACAAAGAGAGGCTCTGGGTCCAGGGCCCAGCACGTGGTGACGGGCTGGGCTGATTGTCCTCTGAGAAGCTGAACACGCCTGCCACAAAGGCATGAACATTCTATAAGAGGGATACTTCCTGTTTTCCCTCTTATAGAAAACAGTGGGGTTTTCTGGGTAGGCTTGGTAGAGAGCAGTGGTCTTCTGTCTAACACCTCGTGTGTGTGAGTGTGAGTGTGTGAATACTTGTCATATTGAAAAATGTCAAACTTTACATAGCAGTTTCTTTTCTCACCAGGGTCTCTGCTTGTGTGAAACTTTCATTTTATAGCTTTGGCTGCTAATTCATCACAGGCACCACCATCAATAAATATTTATTGGGCTTTCATTGGGCTCAGCGTGTTGAAATAAGAACTATATATTTGACTCAAGAGGAGTCAATAGCAGATGGGGCTAGATTTGGGGAGGGGGGCCGGGAGAAACAATCATTGCCGTCTCTTCCAGCCCTGAGATTTGGTGACTTTATAACTAAAGTGATGGGGTCCACTTGACACCCTTTAGGCTGTCAGCTACGAGACGCACGGGCCATCATGAAGTCACTGTCAGAAAAACCACCCAATGCTGGCGATACACATCTTCAAGCCTCATGTCCATTTTGGGATTCAGGGCTGCAAAGGGATGAAATGAGTCTTCTTGGCTTTTCCCATAGTGCCCGTAAAAACAAATATAGTTGACCCTTGGACAACTCCTAGTTTAGGTCACTGACCCTCCGCACAGTCGAAAATCCACGTATATCTTATAGTCAGCCCGCCATGTCCGTGGTTCCTTCATTTTCGCAGTTCCGTATCTGCAGATTCAACCAAGCGCAGGTCATGTGGCACTGTGGTATTTACTACTGAAAAAAATACATGTGTAGGTGGACCCACACAGTACAAAGCCCTGTTGTTGAAGGGTCCACTGTATTTGCTGATGGAGTGATGGTTGCCGTTTGATTTTGGAGTTTAAGAGGTGCATTGACCTCGGGGAAGATTGTAGCCTGTTGATGCTTTGGCAGGAGAGGAGCCAGTCTACTTTTTTGCAAGTGTGTCTGTGGCAGCCTGAGGGGGGTCGGTCCCCACTTGGTGGGAATCCCGGAGTGGTGTGGGCTGGGAGGCAGGGTTGGGTGCCTCTCATGGAGCCCTAGTTAATCAGGCAGGAAACAGCTGGCCTGCCACGGCAGTGACTCAGGCCTCCTGCGGGGGTTTCTTCAACATTATGGAGATGAACATGGCTCTGCGAATTCCCTTTGGACCTGGGCCTCCTGCTAACTGCCTCCGTATTTATGGGAAGATGGGCAGACCACGGAGCGAGGCTCTAGAGTGGAGTCTGTGCTAAGGAGAGTGGCCCTGGCCCTAGTGGGAGTTGTGAAAAGGTAGAGCTGAGCCCTACGGGGTCAAGACATTCTTGCTGTGAGGTGGGCAACCTATTATTACTATTACTACTACAGTTTCTGAGTCCAAGCTTGTACTGCTCACCACATGACAGGCCAATAAATCGGTAGACAAGTTGTTGGGCAAGAAATAGTGACTTTATTTGGAAAGCCAGCAGACTGGGAAGATGGGGACTGGTCTCCCAAAGAACCATCTCACCTGAGTTAGAATTCAGGTTTCTTTTATACTAAAAGGGAAGGGGTCCCATTTGTTTATTTTTGTTTTATTTTCATTACTCTAGGAGGTGGGTCAAAAAAGATCTTGCTGTGGTTGATGTCAAAGAGTGTTTTTCCTGTGTTTTCCTCTAAGAGTCTTATGGTGTCCGGTCTTACATTTAGGTCTTCAATCCATTTTGAGTTTATTTTTGTGTATGGTGTCAGGGAGTGTTCTAATTTCATTCTTTTACATGTAGCTGTCCAGTTTTCCCAGCAGCACTTATTGAAGAGGCTGTCTTTTCTCCATTGTATGTTCTTGCCTCCTTTGTCATAAACTAGGTGACCATAGGTGCATGGGTTTATCTCTGGGGTTTCTATCCTGTACCATTGATCTATATTTCTGTTTTTGTGCCAGTACCATACCCTCTTGATTGCTATAGCTTTGTAGTATAGTTTGAAGATGGGGAGCCTGATTCCTCCAGCTCCATTTTTCTTTCTCAAGATTGCCTTGGCTATTCGGGGTCTTGTGTTTCCATACAAATTGTAAAATTTTTTGTTCTAATTCTGTGAAGAATGCCATTGGTAGTTTGATGGGGATTGCATTGAATCTGTAGATTGCTTTGGGTAGTACAGCAGAAACTAACACAGCATTGTAAAGCAATTATACTCCAATAAAAAAAAATAAAAGGGAAAGGGGTGTGGCTGGTTGTTACAAACTTTTTGGTGTAGGAATCGTTTGTTCTTGCAGCTGTCCACATAGGTCTGGTCACAGTGTTCCTGTAAACCTCCAACAAGACAAAGGTTATTGTCTGGCCCACAACTTTTAATCTCTATATGAATGGAAAAGTGTTATACTGTACCTTTAAAGGTCAGGGCCTTGGGAATGGGCTACCCTGTATATTTCAGTCTATAGGCAACATTCTTTTATAAAACGTGCAGAGTCAGCATGACTCAGCACAGGCAAGGGAGCACAAGGGTTAGAGCTAAAGGAATAGATCCAAT